CCCTTTGCCTGACGCTCCATAAAGAGAGTCTCTGACTGCTTATGATTTACTTGTGGGGTGTGGAGCTTTGCTGACTATGAAGACGTAAGACTGGTGGTTTCTAACCCAGGATAGTGTCAGAATTATTTACCTGGGCAGGTTTTGAAAGAACACTTGTCAGAGCCTCATTGCTGTAACTCATGGCAGTACCCCCACAGATAAACAAGACAAACTGAGCCCATCTGCATTGGGAGGATGGAAAGAGGCAGCATCCTCGGGCTGACTCCACAGCTAAAAAGGGATAGTTTCCTGGGAAGTAGTTTTGAGCCACATTTTGCAGAAGATTGAAAATTCTTTGAAATTTGAAGGACTTTGATAGTGTTAACAAAGTGCTTGGAGCTTGCAAGCCCCTGACAGTATTGTGTATCTTATTTCTGTCTATGGGATTTTAGGCAATAAATCTAACATAAGGCTGCCTGCAGATCCATCAGCAACTCCTCGGAGAAACTCAGGCCCCATTAAGCGCGAGTTGTGGACTTCCCACTTCCCGAGGTGGAGAGGGCCAGTGGCCTTGCTCCTGGACTCCAGCCCTGTTGCCATTGTCTCCTGACCCTTTCCTCGTGATGCTATCAGGCCCCATTAAGCGCGAGTTGTGGACTTCCCACTTCCCGAGGTGGAGAGGGCCAGTGGCTTTGCTCCTGGACTCCAGCCCTGTTGCCATTGTCTCCTGACCCTTTCCTCGTGATGCTAAAGTGGGGGACAGCTATTCTCTTAACTCACCTCTTGGTGCCTTGAGCCTAACAATAAAGCCAGGAGAGAAAGTGACGGTGGCTTATAAGAATAACCAGTTGAAATTCCAAGTTCATGAAGGCTTCTGCCAGTTATCCAGCATCCCTGGGGCCTCCTTTCTTGGTTTTACTGCCACAGGGCTCAGCAGAGTTTGAAAGGTGTTTCTCCAGTGGGAGTGCACGTGTGTTCTCGGGGATCCACGTGGTCATCCTTCCTCTCCCACATGCAGTTATCTCTGAGGTCGTACTCCTAGTACACGAACTAGTCCCTCTGCCGCTGGGCACATGCTAGTTATTGTGTGTTGTTTAGTGTCATGAGGATGCTGTTCTTGAGGCTTTCTGCCCAGGCTGGGAATGGTCCTCTGGCAGATAGCGGGATCTGATGACGTGAGCCAGAGAGAGTGAGGTCATTCCTGTGTCAGGCAGTACAGTCTCGCCAGTTATGTGTGCAGAGCTCTCTTGGACAGCTAGGAGGCCGTCTTACTATCCGTCTTTTTGTCTTTTGCCAAACCTAGCACAGTGTACTGAGCTTAATAGATTGGCTTACTTGTGGAATTTTTTAACAGCTTTTTTGAATATAATTCACCCATTTAAAGTATACAATTCATTGGTTTTTTAAATATATTCACAGTTCTGCAACCATCATCATAGTCTAATTTTTTAATATTTTTATCTCCACATAAAGGAACTTGTACCCATGAGCAGGCACAACCAATGCCCCCCAGTTGCTCCCCAGCCCTGGGCTACCACTAATCTGCTTTCTGTCTCTATATATTTGCCTGTTCTGGACATTTCATATGAATGGAATCGTGTAATACATGGTCTTCTGTGATTGGCTTCTTTAACTGAGCATGTGCTTTTAAGAGTCATCCATGTTGCAGTATATATCAGTACTTCATTCCTTTTTATTGATAAATAGTATTTCATTGTCTGAATATCACATCTTATTTATCAGTTCATTAGTTGATGGACTTTTGGGTTGTTTCCACTGTTTGGCTATTATGAATAATGCTGCTACGAACATCTGTGTACAAGTTTTTGTGTAGACTAGGTTTTTATTTCTCTTTGGTGGAATTGCTGGCTCATATGGTAACTCTGTTTAACCCTCTGAAGAACTGCTAGACTGTTTTCCAAAGCTGCTGCACCAGTTTACACTTCGCCCCGCAGTATAGGAGGACTCTGATTTCTACACGTCCTCACCAGCACTTGTTATTTTCTGTCTTTGTTATCAGCCATTCTAGTGGTGCGAAGTGATAGCTCATTATGGTTTCAATTTGTATTTCCCAAGTGACTAATGATGTTGGGCATCATTTCATGTGCTTATTGGCCATTTCTATATCTTCTTTGGAGAAATGTCTAGTCCTTTGCTCATTTTTAAATTGGGTTATTTCCCTTTTTATTGTTGAGTTGCAAGTGTTCTTTATATATTCACGGCACAAGTCCGGTATCAGATACTGATTTGCAAATATTTACTCCTATTCTGACAGTTGCCACTTTTTTCATGGCTTGAAGCATAACAATCTTAAATTTTGAAGTCCAGTTTGTTTTTTCTTTGGTTACTTATGCTTTTGGTGTTATATCTAAGAAAACATGGCCTAAACCAAGGTCACAAATATTTGTCCCTATGTTTTCTTCTAAGAGTTTTATAGTTTTAGCTCTTACATTTAAGTCTTTGATTAATTTTGAGTTAATTTTTATATATGATGAGATAGGGGTTCAGCTTCATTTTTTTGCTCATAGATATCCATTTGTCCCAGCACCATTTGATGAAGAGACTATTCTTCACCCCACTGAAGTATTTTGGCACTCTTGTCAAAAATCAATTGACTGTCAATATGACAGTCAGTTCTATTTCATTGATCCGTGTGTCTGTCCTTATGCCGGCCTCATATTGTCTTAACTTTTGTGATTCCTCCAACTATGTTCTTCTTTTTCAAGATTATTTTTCATATATTGGATCCCTAGATATTCCATATGAATTTTAGGATCAGCTTGTCAATTTCTGCAGAGAAGTCAGCTGGGATCTTGGTTAGGATGGTGTTGAATGTGCAAATCAATTTGAGGACCATTGCCATCTTCACAGTACTAAGTCTTTTGACCCATTACCTCAGGAGGTCTTTCCTGTTATTTAGATTTTCTTTAATTTCTTTCAACAATAATTTATAGTTTTCAGAGTACAAGTTTTGTGCTTCTCTTGTTAAATTTATTCCTAAGTATTTTGTTCTCTTTGATGCTATTGTAAGTGGAATTGTTTTCTTAATTTCCTTTTCAGATAGTTCATTGCAAATGTGTAGAAATACAAGTGAGTTTTATATATTGATATTGTATCCTGCAACCTGAACTCATTTATTAGCTCTAATAGTTTTTAAATGCATTTCTATTTTGGCAGCTGGATGGTACGTGGATCCAAACCCCTGATCTTGGTGTTACCATATGGTTCTCTACCCAACCGAGCTACCTGGCCAGCCCTTTAGGTGCATTTCTTAGGATTTTTTATATACAAGATTATGTTATCTGCAGGGAGAGATAGTTTTACTTCTTCCTTTGCAATGTGGATGTTTTTGTTTTCCTTGCCTAATTGCCCTGGCGAGAACCTTCAGCACAATGTTGAATAGAAATTGCAAGAGCAGACATCCTCATCGCCCTTCTGATCTTAGGGAAAAAGCATTCAGTCTTTCACCATATGGTATGGTACTAGCTGTGGGTTTTTGAAGATACCCTTATCGGGTTGAGGAAGCTCACTTCTATTCCTTGTTTGTTGCTAGTATTTAGTTGAGAATTTTTGAATCTTTGTTCATAGAATATATCTGTCTGTAATTTTCTCATGAGGTCTTTGTTTGGTTTTGGTATCAGTAATATTGGCCTCATAGAATGAACTGGGAAGTGCTCCCTTCTGTCTTTTGGAATAATTTGTAAAAAATAGATAATCTTCTTTAAATTTTTAGTAAGTGGTGGAATGATTTTAAAGTATATGTTTCCATTTAGTGCCTAGTAAAGGTAAGTTAGAAACATCTTACGTGTATTGGTCAACTGCTACATGCAGTGCCTGCCACTTGGAACTCCATATACATCATTTATTTAATGCTGAAAACAACCCAGTGAAGTGGGTGTCAGTTTTACAGAGGGGGAAACTGAGGTTCATAGGGCCCAGGATCTGTGTGGATGTGAAGCTCATTTTCTTTGCTTTGTACCACATGTACGATGTGATCACGAGTTCATTCTGTGGTGACTTGTGGTGCAGGCAGCTGTCAGGGAAGTGAGGGCTCATGTCTGGACGCTTGAACGGGGGGCGCTGGCAAGCATTCCTTCTCCTCTCCCTGGTTTCCCAAATGTTCAACCGTTTCCTCATCTGTGTCACAGAGGTGGGGGATGCGACTTCAGTAAGGAAAATTACTTGACAGCCTCCTAAAGAATGAATGTCCAGGGGTTCCAAGCACAAAATTGGATCAATTACAGTTTAGCACCCCTGGTATAAGAGAAATATACCCATCCTCCTTTATATCAACTAATGATTTCAAATTCTCTTAGAACACATGTCTAAATTGTTACATTTTAAAAACTTTATACGAATATTTGCTCTACTAATAAAAATTACAAAAAAAATCAGTTTTGAAAAACTTGCCTTACACTGTTCTTTTTCCTCTTTGAAAAGACGAGGATTTTTCTTTAATTAGTATTTTCTTTTTGATTCTTTTCTTTTTTGCCTCCTTTGGCATTGTTGTCAGAATCCAAACACTAGATTGGACAGTTGAGCCTCTATAGCAAGTCTCCTTCCCTTGCCCAGAATTTGGACTCTGCTGATTCGGCAAGACAGGGAAAGGGAAATGGGATGAAGGCCAGAGGTAATTTGTTTATTGTGAGCTTTTGACTTCCCTAAGACTGAGATTTGAGAGCTCAAAATTTAGCAAGACAGGCAAACAAATACAGAAACATGAAAGCCTATTGTCTTTTTAAGTTCCTCGATAAGGCATGTGAGCTTGGAGTCGACTTTTCATGAGGTTTTATGGCATTAAATGTCCATAAACAGCGGTGAGCTTGTCTGTCTTGTTTTAATGGGATTTTTCTTTCAATATATGATTTTTCCTTCAAAATGAAAGAAGCTTTTGCTGACTTAATTTTCTTAAGTAAAAAGAGCGTTTACATATAACCAGTTGAAATTGAAACCACACAAAGGAGCCTCTCGTTTGCCCAGCATTATGGGAAAGACATTTTTCCTATTGCTCTGTCTTTCAGCGAGTGGCAGACCTGGAGCAAGAAAATGCTCTCTTGAAAGATGAAAAAGAGCAGCTTAACAACCAAATCCTGTGCCAATCTAAAGGTAAGTACCAAGGCGCTTGAGTTTTGGTTTGGGTTTTAATATCTTTTCCTCGCTGATTTTCCCCCAGGACTCCTAGCAAGCATAGAATTAGTCAAGATGCTGCAGTGGGGAAAGGGCTTTAACAGAGGAGAGATAAAAACAAGAATGGTGTTCTTTAATATCCTGCTGTGACGTTTGGTTTCAAGAGTTTAAAGAGGTGAGACACATGCATAATGGACAATATCACGCATAGGGCTTAGAATCAGACCTGCACTCAAAGCATGAATCTGCTGTGTGCTACTGTGTGGCTTTGAGCAAGTCCTCAGTTTCTTCATCTGCAAAACGGACATGAAGGTGTGGACCTCAGAGGACTCATTTGAGGTGTGAGCAAGATTCCACAGGATGAATCTGCTGTGTGCTACTGTGTGGCTTTGAGCAAGTCCTCAGTTTCTTCATCTGCAAAATGGACATGAAGGTGTGGACCTCAGAGGACTCATTTGAGGTGTGAGCAAGATTCCACAGGTGAAGTACTTAGGATTGTGCTTCACACACAGTGAGTGCTCAGGACCTGTCATGACTGCTGTGTTTCACACTGACCTTTAGCATCCACAATACGTGTCATAGTTCCTTCTGCCCGTGGGTCATCTGTTAATGTTTGCTCCAGAAAGGGTCTTGAATCAGATCCCGAGTCAACCTATCTCAAGCACCCCTCAGCTCGTGGGCCACCTTCAATCCCCATGTGTTACTTGGCTGTGGAGGAGTGGTGGGTGTCCACAGACACATTTTTGCCCAACTCATTGTGACCTTAAGCACGTCCCCTTCTCCCATCCTCAGGTTCCTCACCTGTATTGTGAGATAACTGAACCACAAGATCTCACAGTCTCGTCCAGCATAAAACCTGTTGAAAACACAAATGTTTTTAAATTTCACTCTAGAAATTTTTCCTTTCCATTAATATGAATAATACGTTTTGGTATGGGATGTTGTCTCTTTGCCTTCCTTTCTTCCCCCTACCTGATTTTTGGCCTTATCTCCTCAAATATCCTTTAATTTCCCCACACTCCAAGAACCTGAAAGATCAGGAATAGGAAAGAAATGTGGAGCAAAACCTTGGTTCTTTCCGGAATGCTACCAGTAGCTGGTGTGACAG